CCTACTCAACTTTTGATTGTTTGCATCAACATTAATTATGAGCTCAAGTTAACCAGCTGTTTTTCTTGATTTTCTTGCCTAATCATATGGTATTCATGTTTTTTATATTTATATTCAAAATATATATATGTAATACCCACTCAAATGACACATAATAAAAATACAAAATAGAATGAATAAATGATTTTGTGCATAAAAATGGCTATATAATCTGCGATAAAAACAAGAAACAACAAAGGATAGTTATATAAATTAGAAATGATAACATAAATCGTTGGCAAACAACCAAAAAAAATGATAACATGAATATATATACTCCTTTTGGTTCTAAATGAAGAAGCTAGATGACTAATTTACAGATATTAAGAAAATTAATTTAGTTATTTGTTAAAAAAATATATGTATCATTTTCTCTAAAATATGTTTTTTTTAATTATTTGAATTGGAAATTATTCTATTAAAGAAAACCACTTTAATTTTTGTAATTAATAAGGAGAGTTTGCAGGAAAAAATTTATCAATGTGATAGACAAAATATATTGTGTTATTATATTTATGACGTAAACAAAATTTTCTTCTAGCTCTTACATTTATGAATGGAGGAAATAATAGATATTATGTCATTATTTATTTAAATGAAGACATATTACTTTTCTATTTGGCATATATATAAGGTATTTTATTAAAGGCTCGATCAACAACATGGTAATTTTCCACTTTGAAGATAAAATAATGATAATTTTAACTCTATATGTTAACAAAAATGAGGGTTTATCATTGGTGAATCAAAATTCGAGATAAGTCTCCATATTTAATGCCCAATTCTTGCAGCAGTATTTTAAATAGGATTGTTTCAAATAGAATAATATACTTGTCTCTCTGTGTATATATATTTTATAAAAGTGGATTTACGTTGATATTAGGGAAAATTAGGGAGAAGGACCTAAAAAAATTAGTATTTATTAAGAGGGATCTTAAAAATTGTAATTAATTTGAAAGTGTAACTTTCACCACTTACTAACCAGAACTAATCATGATAGAAAGAACTAAAACTAGTAAACATACCTTATCATGGTTATTTAAGAGCAATCACATCATTAAGGGGCTAACCGTAATAGAAAAGCATTCGAACTTAATTAAGGCTATCATGGTTAGAAAAAGAATAGCCTGTATTTGTAATCATGGCAAACATGATTATAAAATAATACGCCTTTGAATGATAAATTATAATAGGAGTTTAGACTTGACTATCTTAGTCAATACTAGCAACAACTAAACTTACAAAAATTGCCATTTTCACATCGTGGATCCACAATAATTCAGTCACATGCAATCTAAGGGCCTATGACCCACTATCAACACTCTAGTCTAATATTCAAACAAAATAAACCAAAGATAGAAGGTATAATGCGTTCACTAAGTCAAATGACATAAAAATATGAGAAGGTAAAATAAGTCCCAAATGAATGCAATCCTGATGCGTGGCAATATACGAAAAGATTGCATAAAATAAGGTCCAGAAGCTCTACACTATTAGCTACAGCTATTGAGCCTCAAGAGTCTTCCTCGAAGGTCCCACTAACGTATTGTTTCTTGAAAATGGTAAAGTAGCAGGAGTGAGACAACATCTCAGTAACTAAATCCCTACCTATCCCACACCCTAGCATGGGTTAGCGAGGTGTCAGGTGGGATACACAGAGTTAATAATAGTTGATAAACATTTATTTAACATTTAAATTCACAGTAATCATATAAGACAAATATTTCCACCAATATCATGCAATTGATACATTTCAAAAGAGATAACATACTTGTCATTTATTTAAAAGATATAAATATCAATGAATATCCCATGTCATATACAATTTCTCAACCCAAATCCATCCTTATATCCTCCTTATTTCCGCCGACTGGACCCATGGGCTAAATTCTTTCCATTTGACTGGCAACTTTAACAAGCTCACCACACGAATGATGTGGACCGGCCAAAGACCACAGAGCACTCGGTGGACCATTGGTCCCCCCTCAAAGAACTAGTGGGATGTCGCAGTCCCTCGAAGAACTAGTGGGACAATAATAGTAGCCAACCATAGAGCTCCGTATGGAGGCTAATACCACGTGGCAAGTATATGAATCTCAATAACTCCAATTACCTCCTTTCCCCGCCCAAAATAGATGCACAGGGTTCAAAATGACATATTTATATGCATAATCAACAGAATTTCATAATAACACATCATAATCATGATCACCAATTTCTTGCAATACAAACTATGTCAATCCTTTTTAAAATAGCATCCCACAAGACAGTTCATACAAAACGTACTATACTTTTATAGAATTAGTTATAAAGCTGCTCACCAACTTCATACTAGAGCATGCAACAAATAGAAATTTAGTTACCTGGTTTCCTAGCTAATAGTCAACTATAACCAGAGTCCAACCTCGAAAATGCTACAATAGAGTTTATATCTACAAAAAAAAATTAAAATATTATCTCTATAGTATTAGAGTAGGCTACTCACAAATTTTTAGCCTCTAACTCCTCCTCTAAAAGCTTTAATTTTACTCAGAGCTCTAGCCTAAAAGACATTTCTCTAAGGTTTGGAATGAGAACATATATATATATATGATTTAGACTCGATTCCTAAATTTTCCTTACTTAAATATCCTTTAATTATTAGATTATATTATTAGAATCATCAAATTCATAATGTAAATAGACAAACTGTAAATTTATAACTTATATTCCATCTTCGAATGACTTAGACAAATAGACTTAGTACGAACCAGGTTATTCTCACTACAGAAGTTAAACCCTTAATCTAACCGTTGAATTTAATTTCCTATCTATTATGATACTATCCTCTAAATTATAGCTCAATCTAACGGTGAATGAACTTTAAAATACTAATTTATTATTCAAGACTCTATCAGCTAAATCTAAAAGATATAAGTTAAAAACGTACCTAATAACTTGTAACTCGGAGATCAAAATCATAATCCAACCATTGAAATTAACAATTTGGATATCCCAAATGGGCTGACCAAATTTCAACCCGATCTAACGATTAATAAACTCAAAACTAGCACTTTTCTGAGACTACCTCATATATGTGCGAAAATTATTTACTCACTTCAAGCTTCACTCACTATCTCCTATATATAGGTTCCTCAAACTCTTTCACTCTAAAGATTAGTCGATGTGGGACTTCTATACCATGGTATAAGTTTCTAGAATATCATCCACACACATACAATTACCCACAAAAACATTATTAAAATAATAATAATAATACTTTGCCTATATCTAACTTTTTTTAAAAAAAATTAATATAAAAATATATTTATTTATAAATTTAATTAAATACTAGATTAAAAAAATAAGGATGTTACAGAAAGACCAAAAATTAAAATAAAAATTTACAATTATCAAATTATCCCTTATCAAATCCCTACATTATCTCCAACACCCCCTATCTCAATTGGACAATTAATTATCAATTGAACTTGATTTCTCTCTCTCTCTCTATATCTCTTTTTGATGCACCCAAAGTTTTTATCAATAGCAATTGTCTTCTTATAAATCTAGAACAAAGAAGACAAATTAAAAGGAATCAACTAGCAGACTATTTATTGGATGGTATGTATATTCTGAACATTATTTTCCCTCCTTTAGTTTATTTGCACTGAATGTTTTCTAATTTTCTCATCGCCTCTATATAAAGGCTTTTTGGATGAATATAAAAGTATATATTTGTACCTTCATTCAATTCCAACTATACATACATATGAACACAATCACCCTACCTAAACAAAACTTTTTAGATGAATATAAATATAGTTCTTTGTGTTAACCAAAATATGAAAATCAAGTAAATAGTACCTCTTCGTAACCTAAGCTTCACTAATAATTTTTCCAACCACATCGGAATGAGGGGCAAAATCACCATTGTGCAAGCTGGAAATTTTTCCAGCCATATTGGAATGAAAGGCTAGTAGATGCAGATATGAATGACTAAAAAATAGGACTCTATTTTTTGTCAATTGCTGTATTTAGTTTTTAATTTTAATGAGGGGCAATTTAGTAATTATAAATTTATCTTTCAATTGATAACTGATAGTCAAATATTGAGATGGGTCTTGGAGATAATATAGGGATTTGACCAGTGATAATTTCGTAATTGTAAATTCATATTTAATTTTTGGTCCTTCAAATTAATTACAATTTTTAAGATCCCTCTCCATAAATACTAATTTTTTTAGGTCCTTCTCCTCAATTTTCCCTTGATATTATCTAAACTCTATGGCAAAATCAACCGTAAAAATTATTAAAGTTGCATAAAATTAATTTTATATTAGTTTACACAAACAATAGTTGAGCCTTCCTCGATGTCCATAATCAATTGTGAGCTCGTGATGATCTGAGAGATATAGAATATACGGTTCCATATTAAAGCATCTTGGGTGGTTGGAGGATGAAGAAATTTATATTATAGTTCTACTTTAACAATATTCAATAAGAGCTCTTGAATCATGCCCCAAAAAAAAGGACTGTTCATACATCGATTTTGAAAAAAGAAAAGAAAAGAAAAGGAAAATTTATTTATTTATTTATTTATTTCTTTTTTAAAAGTTTGTGCATATATGTGTGTGTATTTGTTATTGTTTAAACAAGTGGTAGTCCTAGGGTCAACAAGCCTTGTACATGTGCATGAAATTACTTAATAGGTAGGCTTTATATATTTTAGGTTTTTTCTCTTTATCAAAGGTACCTGGGTTTCCTAAATAATCATCTAATAATCTCTCTCTTGCCCATTATGTCCTCACAAATGGACAAAACATTTTAACTTACCCAATAATTTAAAAAATTTTGTCTTATAAATGTGGCTTACAAAGAAATCAATAAAATAATTCCATAATTTAATCCGCTTAATTATTATTATATTCGTCCGTACACTTCATTGGTTCAGACCCATGGCTTAACCTTAACCTAACCTCTTTTATCTCTCTCTCTCTGTTTCCTTCATCTTCACTCAGTTCAATGATTCAATTCGTTCTATGAGAAGTTTGAATCATTGGGTACTCCAATATCTTTCAAAAAATTTCGATATATATATAATTAAACTTACTCATTATTATAATTAACCTCTCTTCTTATTATATACTATATTCCTCCTTTTGTTTACTTTGTTTTCTGTTTTACTCTTCTGTAGCTTCGTGTATGGCCGGCCTTGACTTAGGTTCAGCATCTCACTTTGTTCATCAGCTTCAACGCCCTGATCTTCACTCAAATCATGGAGATGACAACCGGCAGGACCAGGACGACGATGACCCTCAAGGGCTTGAGCTAGTTACTCCGAACTCTGGGGGATCTGGCGGCGGAAGTGGCAGTGGTGAGGGCAGTGGTCGTCGGCCAAGGGGCCGGCCTCCTGGCTCGAAGAACAAGCCGAAACCGCCGGTGATCATCACCAGAGAAAGTGCAAACACGCTTAGGGCTCATATCCTTGAAGTTAGCAGCGGCTCCGATGTGTTTGACTCGGTAGCAACCTATGCTAGGAAGCGACAGAGAGGGATCTGCGTCCTCAGCGGCAGCGGCACCGTCACCAACGTGACCTTACGGCAACCAACAGCCGCCGGTGCCGTCGTGACCCTGCACGGGAGGTTTGAGATACTGTCCTTGGCTGGATCTTTTTTGCCGCCTCCAGCTCCGCCGGGGGCCACCAGCCTGACGATATTTCTCGCCGGAGGGCAAGGTCAAGTTGTGGGAGGAAACGTTGTTGGTGCCTTGATAGCTGCTGGACCTGTTATTGTAATTGCTTCCTCATTTTCAAACGTAGCATATGAGAGATTGCCCTTAGATGAAGAAGAATCACTTCAGATGCAGCAAGGTCAATCTTCCGGCGCGCGCGGCGGCGGCGGCGGCAACTCGTTCCCGGACCCTTCTTCAGGGCTGCCGTTCTTTAATCTGCCATTAAACATGCCGCAGTTACCCGTTGACGGTTGGGCCGGAAACTCAGGTGGTGGTGGGAGGCAACCATATTGATCAGTCTGAGAGCTTCATTAGGGCACACATCAAGGTGAGAAGATAATTAATTAATTAATCTCAAATTAATGGTTACAGAGAAGTTGTAAATTTTCTTCCTTTTAATTTCTTTGTTATTGTAGTGACTTGTCTGGTGATGATGATGATGATTTACGAAGAACTGATTTCTATTCATGTCTCAGTAGTTTCTTAGGGATGTTGCATTAATGTTGATTCAGGTTTCTGGGACAATTGTGAGTGGATTAACATTATTTCACCTTTAATTTTCTTGTCGGATTTAAGGTTTAATTGTTAATTAACTTCTTGAGGGGAATAAAGCTTTGGTCTCATAATATTTTAGGATAGGTTATTAAGACTGAAAATAATTGAAGGAAACAGATAAAGGAGTAAAATTTTCATCAGTATTGTTCTTATTCAAAGTTTAAACATAGATTTATAGCTTCATTTTTGTGAACAATCTTCTATTAATTCCATGGATTTAATCTTTGAGAAGAATAAATTAACTATGTGCAGTATTATATTCTACTGTCTCTGATTTATGCATCTTTTAAGAAATTAATTAAACTAATGGAAATCAAAATCTAGTGATGAAGCAAATGGATAACCTGCTAGATAATTATTTATTAATTTTCTCATAAAAAATCCAGAAAAAATTTATTCATATATAGTGTTGCTAGGCTGGCATTCTTGTGAATATATAATTGAGAGAATCTTAACATTATTGCTTTTGACCCTCGCATATATAACATAGTTAATTAGTAACAAAAACCATCAAGTGGGAGAAAAAACTAATGATATTTCCACGTGAAAGACAATTATGTCCGAGAGTAGTTCCCGAATAAACTAATTAATATGCTTTTTTTTTTAGATTTAATTTGCATTTCTATTCCAGCTTGATGCTTGAGACGTACAATTAAATCCAAAGTTCTTTATGGGCAAATATATTCTAAAAAGATGAGCATTTCTCCATATATATGATCGTCTACTGCGTTGTCTTCTTCTTTAACAGCATTCAAGCAAATATAGATTAGCCTTCTGCAGATATATTTAACAGATTATATTCATTATTTTATAGCTGATCGATGAAAATGACCAAAGAGATGAACTTTGTGAAAATTAACGAAAACTTCAAGAAACTATATGAATGTTTTAAGGGGCCATTAACTAACTCAAATTGCTAGCACACAAGTCCCTTCTCTAATTTTCTGCAGGTAGACACAGATTGTTAAAAATACTATCTACACAGATTGTTAAAAATACTATCTTCAGTTTTTAATATCAGACCTAATTAAATAATTTGGAAAGATTAAGTTATTAAATTACTTAATTAGCCAACTAGGTCTTATATTAAGAATTGGAAGTAGTATTAGATATTATTCAACCTAACTAGTCTCATATGATCCCTCATATGTGGTGTGTAGTCTTATGAATTTATCTATCCGAGAAGGCATGTTTATATCCATGTCCATTGGCTTAAATTCAATATGAATGAAAACTTGCTTCTCTCTCTCCCTCTCTTGGCCATTGAAAACTTGCTTCTCTCTCTACATATATGCATGTATGTATGTATGTATATTTCTATCTTTCTTCTTGTTTTCTATCTGTTTGGTTTATGCTTTATAAGATGTTGTCTCAAACATTGATGCATTCTTTAAGTAAGTCAGTTTCAGGGGGGGAAAAAAGTGCTACTTGCTCAGCTGTTACGAGTACTAGACACAGATAAAAATCATTATATAATCCACACTGGTATAAATCATAATCAGTATATCTGACAAGGAAACTGATGACTCATAACTCGTGTATTATTAAAAGACAAAACAAAAGGGAAATTCGGGTAATAAGTCGTAACCCTAATTTCTCTTACTGTTAGTGGAGAAATTTCGACAGATACTGGTCATTTGATACAGATCGAAAGCTATTTGTGTGTGTGTGTGTGTGTGTGTGTGTTTTTTTTTGAGGGGATTGAGTTGAAAATGAACTCATATCTTTGATCTTGTATATAATAGGTGGAGAATATGATTATGCAATTTGTTCCTCAATGATTTCATAAGAAATATATTCAGTTTAATGTGAAGTTTGAAGTTTCATTAGAGCCGGGATTCATTTACTTATTACATATCGATTTTTTAATCTCTGCATAGTATGCTTTTAGTGTCCATTGACACTGATATTGAATTATCTTGAAGTTACTAATAATTGAAGTTTCAGTAATTTAGGTTGGAAAAATTGTTCTCTTTTACACACACACACACAAGAGCCGTTTCCGGTGTATGCATATGTCATATTTGATTATTTTCCAATATTGTGAAAACTCAAATTTAATTATAAAATTTAAGAATAAAACTATACGAAACAAATTATTTGTGTGTATCGAATAACGGGCACACGCGTATCAGTGTGTGTGTGTGTGGGGCCTCAAATTTTATATGGACTAACACGTATATTGTCAGGACCTAGGGTTCATATCACAGAGTAAGATTCATTTTATTCAGTGAGTCATATGTACAATATACAGCCAGTTAATTTATCTTCTTCTTCTTCTTCTTCTTCTTATTATTATTATTATTCATTCTTTTGTTCTTGGGGAACCAAGCTAGACGATGATTGAAGAAGTCTCTGAAAAGATCCATCTCCAAACTTGAACTAAACTTAATCCAAATGGCTTTCAAGAATTCGTAAACCTAAAAATGACACTGTTCTGTTATATATGAATGATTTTATCTAAGATTTTAATTTGACCTTTAACTTTATAAAGGGTATTTTTAATTCCTGATCCGAGCTTCGTTAACATAACTAATTACAAGAAAATATATATTGATACAGTTTTAGATGTTGGCAAAGCATTCAAGGATGTAACAGCTCCAGTAGTTACTATAAATTTCAGTTTTGGTGTTCCAGCTGCTTCACACATTTTGGTTTTATCAGCATTTGTGAATGTTTAATTTAGTCAGCATCTGAAATACTGTTTTCTTGATATTTTTTGTTAATTGGATTACTAGTATTTTTGGAGTCGAGAGATTAAAAGACTTTTTGTAAAACTAAGATATTAAACAGAAATCTAGTACTATCTCTCAATTCTAAATATAAAATTTATTTGTAATACAAATTGTACTATAAATTAAATGTTATATTTGGAACAGGATGTAGTATAAAATTAAGAGATGAATGAAGGAGACCCACATAAAAATAATACCCTTCTATATAAAAGCAATACCAGCAAATAAAACTAACGAGTTGAGTCTAGTAGAAATAATTAGTCTCTCACAACGTGGTAAATTAAGGTTGGGAGAGGTGCTTACATTTATAAGGTGTTTGGTTAATTTAAAAAACACTTTTAAAATGTATTTTCAAGCAAGTCGACTTGACTTGCTTCATATATCGTAAAGTTATTTTTAAAACTATAGTTTAGTTTTCATTCAAACATCCTTTAGTGACTAACAATATATCAAACTGGATTGCTTTCAATGGATATCTATGCCCAGAAAAAAAGATATCACAAAATAAAATTCTATAAGCCTCTATCGAAACTACTCCCTCCTTCCTTTTTAATAAAAACATTTGATCAAAGCATGTAGATAAAAAAATTAGTTGAAATTAGTTAAAGACAATAAATATATAAAATTTTTAAATTCTTTCTAAAAAAAAATACTCTTATTTATGAGGGGAGACAGTATGAGAGAGAATAAGAAAATGAATGAATGATGCATTGGGAAAAAAAATGACAAATATATTGAGTATTAAAATAACTAATTAATAATGGAGACAAAATATGAAAATAGACAAAAAAATTTAAGACATTTTACAATTATTTCTTATAAAAAGGGACAAAAGAAGCACCCTTTAATGAAAACTTTGTGTAATCAATAAAATTAAAACAACAAAAAATCCTTTCATGCGTGTAATTAATAGCAAAAGAATTATAAATTTAGAAAATAAAGCAGATTGAAATTCTTGTATTTAATATTAAAACAAACTCCTTTACTAATTCTTATATTTGGAATCTAAAGAGTAATAATAAAATATGAAATGCACGAAATTTAGATCTGGACATGGATCCTCTTATACACACCAGTGTTGTCCTTTTCACACACACACAATTTAGTTAATTGGATTGATTTAATGGCTTGAAAAGGTGTTCTGTTTTAGCCTATAAAAAATTGTTCTAATTAGCATATAGAATGCAATATTTGACAACTGTTGCGGGTCAAATGCATCATTCAGCTATCGGATTGATCCAATAAAATGCAGATAATGTGATTTCTTTTCTTACCTCTTTTTTCAATCGCCGCCGTCGCCACTTGAAAATCCTCAATTTTCAATTCTTTTCTAAGATTTCCTTTAAACCAAATGAGTTCTTAATGCTTACTCTGAAGAAACCATATAATACTACCTCCCGGTCTTAATTATAAGAGCCCGTGGGTCTTATAATTGGGATTGGAGATAGCATTAATTTTTACTATAGCCGGCATGCTCATTATATTCTCCACAAAGGGTTTAAACTCATAACCCAGATTTGAAAAAAATCTAAAAGAGATGTTTGGTGTCATTTAGATTATAAAGCTCGACAACTATATAAAATTAATTGTTCTTTTATGTGTCACACACACGACTTACCTCCTTGGTGATTGGTATATATTTAGATTTATGTATTGATAGAGATCATAACTTTTTTTTTTCAAAAATATAAGTTAATTAACTTAGAAAAATATATTTTTTACTTCATCATATCAACTCATAATTTATACTTTTCAATCAATTTTTTCATTTCCACATTCCAGGAAAATTAAAAGTAGAACAGAAAGTCTTTCAAATTTTAAGGTTGTTTTATTACATTTCCAGTTCCATTCGTACAAGAAACCCTGAATATTAAACTAAAAGAGGAGACACCATTATTGAAGCACACAGAACAAGTTTGATAGTCACCTACTGCTCAATATTTGTCATTTTCAATTTGTATTTCACTTTCAAACGTAAGATGCTTCATACAAAGCTATTTTTCAAATTATATTATCCGAGATAAACAACTAATTTATGAATATTAAGAAAATTAATTTAATTAATTACTAGTAACAAATGGGTTCTAAAGTATCCTTGTTGATCATATGTATCAGAATGAAAACTCTTAACATGTGTAATCACCATAAAGATTACTTTGAGAAAAAAATGAAGAAATATGAGAAATAAAGTGGATTGGGGTTTTATATTTGAGACTAATTGAATCCCCACCTACTTTTTATATTTATGACCAAAGGTAGTATATTACTCATCTGGTCCTTAATGTAAAACGTAATTAACTAATTTGATTAGATTAAGAATA